TATATATATATATATATATATATAAAAGTACTAATTAAATCTCCTTAATACTATTATAAAAATTAACATTGATCTTTTTATATTCTTTACAACACTAAAAATAAACTCTACTTGTTGTATTAAAATATATACATTTTAGTAAATTTTGAAACTGAATATTTTATATGCTTACTATACTACTTTATATACTTTTTGTATATAAAAATATCAATATCATTCAATATAACTACTATTGTTATTACAAAACTAACTTAAGTTACAGTATATTTTTTCTGTAGTTTATTTCATATAATGAAACTATTTGTTTGCTGTATTATGTACTCGAAAAATACTTTCTATATTTGAAAAATACAAAGTAATGCAAAAAATTTATTAATCGTTAACCAGAAAATAATCTTAAAAATATTTTTGAACTTTGAAGTGAATAATTATTCACTTCATTATATTTCATTATACCTCATTATTAACTTTTCAATTTATAAATCTTTAAATATATAATTATTAGAAAATTATAAATAAGTATATATCTAATTCGATGTGCGCGCGCGCGCGCGCGTGTATGTGTGTGTAACAATATATGTAATATGTACTTGCAGGGAACTAGAAATAAAAATAATATATATGTAAAAGATTGTTATTAAACAAAGTATGACACATCTTAAAACACAAAACAATAAGAGCAATACTGACATTTATTAATTCATTCTTTGTTAATAATTAATATTTTTAATATCACAACCAATTTTTTTAATTGAAAATAATAATTTGTGTTCTTTTTGACAATCATAGATTTATACATAATACATATGTATGTTAAGTAAAACACTAACATTTTTGATTTTATAAAAATCAAATATATGTGTGTGTGTGATATATAGAAAAAGTAAAAATGACACATATGTACAACAAATAAATAATATACATTTATTAAAATTAATTATTTTAATAAGAATTTTATAAGAATTTATATAAAATAATCATTGATAATGAAAAATTGTTAACATGACAATAAATCTAATATAAACTATTAAATTTATCAATTACGAAACATTTATCTTATAAATGTCTTTCTTTTAGATAAAAATATAGAATAATTATTACATACATAAACATAATGAAATTTTATGATTTTTTTCGATTTATGTATTAAAATTATACTTTTTATATGTATTATGTATGAATAATTCTTACGTTTATTTGTTCGTATAAACTTACGTTTACGATTCTTACGTTACCTTGTTATGAATAATTATGTTAAATAAAAGATAAACAAAAAATGCATGCGTTTAATATTGTATTTTATATTTTTTCAATTATTTTAATAAAATATATACTTTTCAATAAATTTTATATTCGATATTCTTATCTTTGATAAAGTGGAAATTTGTCATTATCAAAAATCTTATACAATTCAGTAAAATTATAAAAAAAACATATACTGATGTTTTATAAACAAATTTTCTCAGAACACAGAACTTGACATACCTTTTTTACATTTTTCATCAGAGATCATAACATGCCTTAAGTTTGGTATTATCCATTGTTCACAATGTATTAAACTGCTTATTAAATATCACATGTACTATCATTTTTGTTTTATTGTAATTATATCATAAAATCGTTTCATTTTTTGCAGCTCCATCAGTTCTTTAGATTAAAATGTTTTATGGCTGCCCTATTAACGGAATCTAATAATGCAGTAACTAGCAGAGAATTTGTATTCCGCTCTTACTCAGAATAATTTGTTACTTTTTGAATTAAACAAACTATATTATTATATCGTTCATTAAGAAATTATTTGAATTACTTGATTACTTTACTATATTGAAATACAACACTGATATCAAAATCAAAGTTAACATTAAATTTAATATAAACTCAAAACAACTCACACTAATGATCTTCAACTAGTTTTAAGTATGCTATGTCACGCCATTGATTACTAGTAAACTTCATATTACCACCCGTTTGGCAAAGCCTAGTTGCGTCTGCGCTTTATTCACTTCCTATCCCTTTCGTTAGGGTTGTTTAAGAGACCATTCGCTGTATTGAATTATTTGTATATATTTCATCAAATTTAAATTTACTTGAAAAAAATGTAATTTCTGTTAAATTTGACTATTTTCATTTGAAAAAATTTCGAATGACTCTTCAAAGATTCAATGCATTGCGTTTAAATACAAAATAGCAAAATTAATTTAAAAATTGATATTAAAAGTATTATTATATTAACAATTTTATACGTATATTATAATAGAAATAAAATTTTTTCTTAAAAAATGTTCTATTTTGTATACATTATGAAGTCATACGTAGAAAAGTATGGTATTAATCATTTAATATTGATTTTTCTTAGTATAGCAAATAATTTTAAAAGGCATACGAAAGAATAATATTATGCATCTATTAAAAATAATATATTATTCACAATAAACTGAATCTCAAGCGTACATATTTATTTAATCCTTTCATTACTACTATATAGTTAATTATTAATATTAGTTAATAGTAGTTAATTATTGTGTAACATTGTATAATAATATCCATCCATTAAGTCCATGATTGACTATTCTTGCCAAACTTGCAATATTATATCATTTTTAACATACTAACTACATGTATCTATTAGAATTAACACGTTATATTTATCTTATATATAAAATTAATAGAATAATATTAAAATTATTAAAAAATAATAAATCATAATCATAGTCATATTCACCATCTCTACTTCATAATTTCGAGCATTTATATTGCAATATAGGTAGATATTATAATAGATATTATAAAAATTTTTAAAATGACAAATATCAAAATATTAATATGCAAAAGATATTATAAAGCGGAAAATAATTATGCAAAATATTAATATGCAAAAAATACTATAAAGCGGAAAAAGAACATAAATGCGCATAAATAATAGCAGTTATACATAACGCATCTTAATTTAAAAAAAAAAATGAATAAATAAATAATGCTTATTTAGTTTAAAAATTTTTTATTATTTAAACGACTAGTTGAATTCTACGTTGTAACAAAAGCAACAAGTTTCTTCAAGATTTGTTTTGTAAAAACAAGTTTCTTTTAGAGATAAAATAAGAGACATTTTTTATTAAAATTACATGATTAGAAATTATTATATATAATTTCCCTAAAATGAGAAAAAGTTACATTGAAAAAATTAAAAATTTAAAACATTTGATTTTTTCTAATTCTTGAAAAACAGATAGTAATTTAATAAAATTAAATAGTTGTACATCATACTTTCGTATACTGTAAATACTTTATGTAATATTGTGTTTTCTCTCAAATTTTAGGGTAATAGGAAATAAAATTAGACAATTAAGTAAAAAGTATTTTATTTTATATTTTTCTGAAATGAGAGTCTTGATTTATTTTAAATAATATATGATTAAATATCATTGAACTTATTCTATATTAATACTTGAGGTTTGTATTTTGTTATGTCTAAACAATCCAAAACCTATATGTTATTTTGTAAAAAAATGTAAGTACAAGTACATAATTATACAAATAGTACAGTCATACGCAATAATAAGAATAATTAAAGTAGCAATTTACAGATGGAAAAAACAATTGAATCCATAATAATACATTCAAATACATAATAAAAGAATTTTATTAATATATAGTAATATAAAAAAATACTAAAAACAAATAAATACATAAATAATTTTTATCTTTGTCATGTGATTTCATAAATCGGTCACAAAAATTTTTACGAAGTTCCATCTGCATTTACTACAGTGACAAAAATTAGACAAATAAACCAAACATTATAACAGCAGTAATTAAATTTATAGATCAGTTACAGTCTTATTACAGAATAACAAATAAAATTTATAAAAATATTATATTCATTTTACACATGTTATATATATATGTAATACAATATGTATCCTTTGTTATTTGTATCTAAATAATATATATAAAATAAGAATAAAAAATTAATAT